TGGGGAAGGCAGTGAAGGAATATTGAGCCAATATTCTACCAACGGCGGCGGCAGCTTATGCGGTGAAAAATTGCTGGTGTGGACATGTGCAGAAATGACTTTTTTTGCCACCCTCTCCCTCCCCCCGCTCCCTTCCCCCCATGTAGCCTGTTACGAGGTCACATCAACATTGAACAAGGCTCTCATAAATATTTAGGTGAATAGCTACCTTTATTTTTCTTGAAAGGATAAGAAAACATGTACCACCTTCTTAACTGGCAACTTTCTCACACCTGTCGAGAGGAACGTTGCGGAAGTGGAGCAAGGATTGTGGGGAAACAGGAGGGGAGGTGGGTGAATGTGGGGAAGGAAAAGATCGCATCCAGAAGAATTTCCTCATCACCAGCTCGACACTGAATGAGCCACATTTGAAGATTCCATCTGTATTTTCCAAGACTTGGATTCCCCCGTTTTTGTGCTCATTCTTGTGATTCCGATTGCCAGTGAAATTACAGTTCGAGAACTGTTGATTACAGTGTTGACAACCTACTATGCACTCTATGTCTAAAAATGGCGTCCAACAGGTTTACTCGCCGGTCCCAAAAAGGTAATCTATCGATTTCTTATCGAAGAATCTGGTTTGCAGTCACTTCCTTGTTTTCGTAAAATGTACAGCATTTCATGAGTTACACGTGAACGTTTATTGCCTTCATTTTGGGCGCCGCCCTATCATCGACCTGAAATTGCCTCAAACATCTCATCTGGAATGCATTTCAAGAATGTGGTTTTTTAAAATCTTTTTTGGGATGCGCCTTGCATTCTGCTTACGTCAAAAGTCGTAATAGGAGTTGAACAAAATTTGGGACCATAGAAGGATTTTGAAGCAAACTGGCATAAAAATTACCCTAATTTCCCGCTCTGTGGATATGCCCGCATGGTGTATAAGCTTAGGCTAATCTACCCTGAGTTACGGGAATCAAAATGTATGCTGGCCTATGCACAATAAAATGGTCCATGGTAGAAGGTAGGTGCCAGTTTTGCCATTTCTGATGGTTTAAACCATACCTTACTTACTTACATGGAGCGGTCCTCTCTCGAACAACGACTTTGGTGAAAGCAGCCCTGGCGCGAAACTAGCGCTAAACGGCGCAAAATAGTGCCAAAAATGAGCGTTACATCCACAATCACGCCTATCATCCCCATCCGGAAGCCAGATAAATACTGTGAACAAGCCTCTAAGCGCCAAGTTCACACTGGTAGGCCAACAGCACGCAGAAATGATCCATTTCGAAGTTTTGCATTACCCATTCGACAATAAATACAATTCTGACAGATGACGGTTAAGAATTTTAGGGTGGATTAAGCCGCAGTTTAAAAAGGTTATTCGGTGAAACTCCAGTTTCGGGGGGGGCCACTCCATTTTTTCTCCAATACTCAAGATAAGGATTAGAGGGCTCACGACACGTTAATTGCGACTCATTGTAAAGTACAGGGTGGCTACTAAATATTGGCGCATGGTTTATTGATCATATTTCCAAAAAGAGAAGCTATCATATCTTAAGAAGTTTATTTTCATATACAATAAAACATGAAAATTCATTACCAAAGAAAGTGCTCGAGATGGCCTCCTTTGGTAGCGATACAGGCTTGAAGTCTCTTTTCAACTGACATCACCGTGGGCCGCAAGTAGCCGACGTCGGCGTGATGTGAGTAGATCTTCAGACCAGAAGTGGCGCACGATTTGCAAAACGACAGGCAGTTGTTGGATCTGGCTAGCAGACATTCTGCTCGACCTTGTGTACACACGGGGAACCGTTTTTCAGACTTGTCATGGTTTGGGCAGGAATTACTTCTGAAACCATGACACCGCTTGTCTTTGTGGACGAATACATTAAAGCCAGCGCCCAGATCTACTCGGAAACAATTTTCACGTAATGCCCTTCTTCCAAGGACTCTTTTGACCTTCGGCGAACGTCATTGCATTCTTCAGCAAACAGGGCGCCTCCACATGCCGCAAAATCAATGTTGGAGAACTGTGACCGTCATTTTCCAAGTTAACCGAGCACAAAATGTTTGACCATCTAAGTCGCCCGATTTGAACCAATTGATTTGGCGGTGTGGGGTTTCTTGAAGCAGAAGATGCCTTCTGAGCAACGTCGAAGTTTGGACTCCTGAAGGCTTCCTTGGAGGAGGCGTGGAAGGAGCTTGACGTCAGCTACTTGCGGCCCACAGTGATGTCAGTTGAAAAGAGACTTCAAGCCTGTATTGCTACCAAGGCCATCTCGAGCACTTTCTTCAGCACTGTACTGCCATGTTATAAGGTATATAAAGACAAACCTCTGAAGACGTAAAAGCTTCTCGTTTTAAAAATATGGTCAACAATCCATGCGCCAATATTTAGTAGCACCGTAGACTTCTGATAAATATTGGTGTAATGGGTGAGAAACCCTGAAACGTTTTCACATTTCCGCCTGCCATGACCCAAGGGAACGGTCCTGGACCAGGAGAAAGGACACCTCCGCAAAGGGCTAAGGGTGCAGGAGCTCCAGGGTGGATCACCTGTGCAGAAAAGTGGATGGGATGTGGGCAGGTAGTGTGGAATGTAGGACATCCACCGGTCCTTATCAAAAGTACGCTCGAAATGAGTCGTTCACTTATTATCTTATCCGTAGTGTTCGATAGCCCAAAGAACTGCTCTCTAGTACTACGGATAAGATAGCAATGGAGTGCCCCCCCCCCCCCGAACTGGAGTTTCACCGTAACTATCTATAGAAGTTTAAAGGAGGAATTGCACGATAAGAGCGAAGGTCAAAGAAGGGGAAAATTGCCTAGTGGGAGACAGGCGGACCTCCTGAGGTGCTGACCTGACACGCAATTGCAGCGAAAGATTTGACCTCGGCGATCTAGCATGGCTCACTCTTGGCGCGGTTGGCGGGGTACGCCCAACCGGACGTCTTTTAATTCACTTCGCTGTCAGTCTTATACGGGCGAGTTCCTGTAGATAACAGAGAGCGCGTAGAGCTTGAAGAAGGCCACACGATGAGAGTTCGGCACAATGCTGATTCAACGGCAAGGACGGGTTTCGCGTCGTTCGAGTAGTTTTGTTCTTCATCCCGTGCCAATATCTATCTTTCTTCCAATGAGGTAACTTTTTCATCGTAAATCCTGCCTCTAAGGTAATCAATGATATACGATTTCTTCTCAGTTTTATGTGTCATGATCAATAAACAGAAGCGCACGAATCGGACTGGCACGATTCACATGTAAGGCGAAGCGTTGACAGAATTAAGAGACATCCAGCTTGTAAGAAGAGCTGGGCATGAGCTGCTTATGGCCGCGGCCAGACTAGCGAATAGCGATCGCTCGATTCGCAAGCCTGACACCGGCCTATGACAATTAGATTTCTGTTCACAGCAGCGAGAACAATATCCCTGCCGCTGGACGGGGTTTGTACCACATGTGAGATTAATCCTAGCGAATTGGCAGAGGAGGGATTTAAACGATATCCCTCAGTTTACTGGGCTTCTCTTTACAAACAACAGAGAAGCATCATAGGAAAACAATTATGGCATTCAGAACACAACCAAAATATGCAAGAACTTTCAAAATAGGATGAAGCAATAACACAAAATGTACAAATAAGCAGAGTCGAGCAGAGAAATTTCAAAGTTTAGACATTGCTCGACCACGTTTGAAGCACGTCAAGAAGTCCGCCTTGTCCTGACACTGCTCGTCCTGGATCAGCCCTCCTGTCACCGTTCCCACCGAAATTGCTCTCCATGGGGGCTTGCTGCACATTAGTAGCACATTCCGTGATAGCAGAACTGGGGAATAGGGTTCGATTATGGAGCAACAGGTGCCAAATAACCCGCCAATGAGGAAAAAGAAGAAAAAACCAGGCCCAAAACTCTCTGGAAATAAGGTTTTTTGGTGGACAGCCCACGAGCGAGATAGTCTGGGAGACTCTGGGCAGGAGGGGAGACGTAGGAGCGAGAGAGTATAGGGGAACGGCGAGACACAGACATCAAAGCATTCGTAATCGCGGTAGCTTGCATGAATGGAAATTCCCTAGCTCTGGACTATTCCGGTCGCAAAAACCTCTTGCGTTCCTTCAATCACGGAGAAATTTTCAATTTGACTAACTGATCACGGAATGTGCCTTGGTCACGGGCCCAAGTGCGCTTGGCGGCCCTTCATTGGAGTTTGGGTGGGAGAAAGCACATCGAAAGCTCACTAGGAGAAGTTATTGAGTGTGTGGATTAATTTTTACGTCAAACCTGAGCAAAATGGAAAGCAAAAATCTGCTTTTTGTGCCAAACACGAATGAAAGCTCTTATTTATTGCTGGACTAACAATTTAGGGTCCTATTTGTGCTTAACGCCCATCTAAAGTGAGCAAGTTTTCGATTTTTTCTCGGCCGAACCCCTTGGTGAGCTGGCTGGAGTCAGGACAAACTTCAGCAGAGGTATCGTCAATCTGCTGGGCTCAGAATACTTCACTTAAAACGAAGCAAATAGGCGAACTATCCCCCAACAAGGGATCTATGGTGAATGATAGGAGAAGCGCGAGAGCACGGGAGCATTGAACTACAACTCCTGATGGCCGTACCGATCCACCGGCCACATGCAGTCGCATCCCAACGGCACGTTCCGCAAAGTGTGCGGACTCCAGTACACTGAACCGACCGGACGTCGTGAAACATGAACCTGGAATGGATAACTTTTTACGCCATTTTTTGTAAGTAACTTTTATAAGCACTTGCAAGGCTATGCTGAGTCGTAAAACGAACCCATAATCCTAACATTAATACCCAGATTTCACTTTGTGATTACTCAAAGGAGAACTACACTGTAAGGTTAAAGGTTGAAGAAGGGGAATGCTCTTAGCCGAGAAGCAGGCGGCCTCCCTAAGGGTGTGGCACGATGCACGTTTCGCAAGCGAAAGTATGGCCATAGCGGCCCAACAGGGCCCTACCCGCGCCGCTGTACTGTCCGGGCCCAGCCAGAGTCCTTCCTTCACTATCTATATAGAGATTTTTACGACTTCTAAACTTGAGGGGGGGGGGGTTGAAATATGCATAAGCTTTTCCTTATTTCATCTCTTTCGCTCTCTTCTTTCTTTGATAATCCTTCAGATCCCTGTTTATTTCCCTTATTTCGCTCCTCTGCTTACTGCCGGGGCTCAAATATCCTTCGTTTCTATGGCGAATTCACTTTCGTTACAAAAATATTGCCCAGAACAAACGTGAATTCTTGCCACCTCCGAGTTAGCACATTGAGGTCATATCGAGTAATAGCTAATGAAATGAAGCAGTGGTGACAGTTTGAATTAAAATTTTATAATGAAGGTTTACCTTATGTATGCTCTGAATAAAATTTATAATTTTTGATGTAATTTAATTTGGCACTATTTACCCTTTACTGCCCCGCCCACTTCTCAAGAACTAAGCCGGATTTTGATAGAAATTCGTCCATGACTGTGGAT